GGCGTCATTTGGCTTCAACTCGTCAGACAGTGCACTGATCAGGCAGCATAAAGGACCGTCAGATGGAAAGGGGTTCAGTTCAACATCAGACACCGTACAGTCAAGACCTGTTGTGCAGACCTGTTGTCCAAATCAGCTGTCAAGATGATGCGCCGGAATGCCTGCAAATGTTCCAAGGCACAACTGGATCTCTTTTCTGTGCCCCCTGTGGTGACCTCGGTCCAAGAAGGTCATTCGATGGATTCGATACAGTCCTCTTGCATCCCCTTCAGTTTAACATTGCTAACCCTGTGAATGCCTACATCGATTTGAGCCAGTGTTACCTCCGCATCTGCCTCAAAATCAAGAATACAGATGGTACGGATGCAGTTCATGATGGCGATCACGCACTCCCCGTGTCCATGGTGAACAACATGATGCATTCCCTCTTTCGTGAAGTGCGTGTGCAAGTGGGACACAACCAGTTGGAAATTACTCCTTCCATGGGTACCTATCACTACTGAGCCTATTTGGAAACGTTGCTGAGTTATGGGAAGGCAGCCAAAGGGACCCATCTCCAGTGTCCAGATGAAGCTGGAAAAATGGATCACTTTAATGCTGTCACACAGAATGCCAACGCAGGATTTGTTGCACGACGACGGGTCATTCTACCCACCCGAGACATGGAACTGACAGGACGTCTCCACTGTGACCTGTTTCTCCAAGACCGGTACCTGGTGGATGGAGTTCCCATGAAACTAGAACTGATTCGCAGCCCGAGTGATTTCTACTTGATGAGTGCTGGAGATGCCGGCATTTCAGGAGGAGGACGCGATTTCCGCAAAGATCAACTGATTGGAGGCCAACTGCCCAAACGATTGGTGTTGGGATTGGTGGACAATGATGCTTTTGCTGGCAGCAAGGAAAAGAACCCCTACCATTTCAATCACAACAACGTGACCAGCCTCAAGCTGAAACTCAATGGGCAAGAAGTGCGTGGCACTGAAATCAAAAGCGACTTTCAGAACAACAGTGCCTCGCTCAAACAGTTGTATATGAACCTGTTCTGCAACACGGGACACATGTGGCAAGAACATCCCTGCAACCTCACCCTGGACGAATTCAGGAACGGATTCAATGTGTGGGTGGTGGATCTGACGGCGGATCTGGGAGCAGATGAAGGGTATAATTACCCACGACAGACGGGCAAGTTGGGACTAGAACTTCAGTTTGCAGAACCCCTACCACGTCCCGTCACGCTCGTCTGCTACGAGGAATACGAAAGCGTTTTGGAAATTGATCGGTTCCGCAACGCTCTGATGGTCTACTGATGGACGATACTGTCTTGACGACCAAACACTTGAACGGCTACGTACAACAGGATCCCCTGCTGCGACCCCTCTACCAAGGTACCTTTGCCCGAGATCATTTTCCAACCACCGTGCTATGTGAACAGCAGTGACATTATCCTAAAGCCTACATTGTCAACACGGCCCCAGCCATCTTCCAGGACAACACTGGGTGTGCGTGACAGTTATGAACTCCGTCCCTACCAACAGCATCCAGACTTTCGGAACGCCATGACCTTCGCCGGATGGCTCCAACAACAGTGGAATCATCAATCACTTCAACCCTGGTTCAGTGCCTCTTGTGGGATGTACTGCATGTATGTACTGGCTCATCGTGCCCGTGGATGGTCTTTTGACGAAGTGATGGAACAGTTTGATACCTACGATACCCTCGTCAATGAAGAACGTGTAAGACGCTGGTTTCAACCGACACGTCTGACAGACAACAACGATGGCCATGATCCACAACCCTGCCAAAGGACACAACCTTATCGTTCTGGGCCCGGTTGTTCAAAACTCGGTTATCTTAACCGCCGGTTAACTCCTGACGGCCGGTTAAATCCTTACCGGCCGTTAGCTAACCGAACGTTAAATAGGCGTTGTTCAAAACATGGTTAGTCATTCCGTTAGCTAACGCCACCGTCAAAGTTAACCGTGTGGTTAACGTCACTGGTTAGCTTCGATATATCCCACAATTCCGTTTTCTGTTTACTTCCGGTTTGCCCAAAATGGAATCGCAAAATGTCGCCTGCATCCCTAGGAAAAAGAGAAGTAAAAATGTCTCTGCTGACGAGAATGGTTGAGGCCAAATGGTCTTTGTTATCGGTGAAACATTTGACTGAAGTTACGAAGAAACGGAAAACACGTTATGGTCAGGGATTATGAGTGGTGAATGCGAAGGGGGTAGCTCCGAGACCCTTGGTTGAAGTGAAAGAAAAGGGGACAAACATGGATCGGAAGGCCAAGAACGACCACAGAATTCAGTCGCGGAGCTCAGTCAAACAGCCAGCCATGACATTGACATGATGCGTGACTCGGAAAGTTTTGACGGTGTAAGTTTCAATAAATCACCAACAGTGTAAATGACACATTTCACTTCGAGAAAAATGACGTTTAAAAATGCCCTGTTCAGTAATTTTACTCAAAAGTTCAGTAGAGCTGGTACTTGCACCTAGATACCGATGACGATGTAGGCATATGATGACTATTTTCACAATATATTTAACAAAGGCCATACTAGGCCTATATAAACATTGGGAAATTAATATCAGTTTCACAGTCACAAAATCTCAGGTAGAAATGGACAACAAACCACATGGTAATGTTTATAATCTAGATCTATTTTTACTGTCGACCTTGAACTTGACACCATATATGGCATAATCTAAATCTCGATTTCGATATTCAAATATAACATTTAAGCAAAGTGACTACGAAGTAGACCTGCATATCACTCACAACAGAAATAGATAGATAGATCCACATAATAATGTTTTGTATATTTTCCTACACATCAGTTGCGATAGAAATGTTTATGTTTTCGTCAATTTACATAGCATTTTCAAAAGTTGATTTGCTTTAATAAAAAAAATCGAAGAATGATAAAGAAATAAAGACCTATTACTGAAATGATTAGTAAAAATATAATTAAAATCCATCCATAGGAAGGATGCCAGACGGACAGATATGTCCTTGCTCCTCAACCCTCACTTTGAAGTCCAATAAAATTCAAAATATATCACGTAGACAAATATATTGTACAGTTTCGAAATCTGCGGGAACTTTCATGTTTCTTGCTACCATCTACTATTATTCTAGACAAAGCATAAGTGTTGATAATGACCTTTCAAAATATGCTTCATCGCAAATGTCGCCATTTTTGACACAGTACGAATATTCGAATACGATTCCCGGCTTTATTTGTTGTTTTTTGAAATCGTATAAATACTAGGAGTATTGAATATAAAAAATAGCATAATAATCATCACTGATATCAGTTTTTTCATGAAATCACTAATGATAATTCTGAAACGTTGCCGATGAAGCTGGAATCGTGTTGGGATGTTTTCATAAATACACTCACACGAACGCCGAAGTGAGCTTTGCGCCATATTGGTTAGTGTTTTACAAAATCACGTTTCGCGAAGGCCGGTATTTAGACGCCAATTACAACACTTATATTTCATATTCAGCTGCAACAAATGCATCACTGAATTCCTCATACATTTTGTAATCAAATTACAACTGGTCTTTGTCACCAGTACCAACTGTCTAGATACACTGAAAGGAAAGATATTGGTGATGGAAACGACGCTGTTGAGCGAAAGACAACACTTGTTTGAAATGTAAACAAAGAATTCAGACATTACATTTTGCATCATTTTCTCAAATTATCAGACACCCATTCATTACTTTAGGAATACACATGGCAAAGCATCGCATCAAGAAAAGGCAAATTAAAAATAGATACAATAATGTAATGTGATGTGTTTATAACGAAACTATCAAAGTTTATGTGCACCGTGACTGACGCAAAATCATGCAGAACGACTACGGTAATGATCGGCATTTCTGGCTTCTTCTCTTCCATATAATGAAAACGATAAAACATATAACAATACACAGATAGTCAGAATCGTTCTGATTACTTACATCACATTATGTTTATGTACAAACGATCCCTGAATCATGCGTAGCCACGTCTGCAAAGCCGCCATTTCATGTGAAATCGGTCATCGGTAGTGATATCATACATCAACATTGGTGTACATATTTGGCAATTTCTTCGAGGTGAAGGTTGGTTGAATAAGAGTAAACACAATCACCATATCCTGCCGATGAAACTTTCAGTAGTCTATTATAATGTAATTGTTTGGATATTTTTTCAGGAAACTAATTAAATTACATGTATCTACATTTAGCCTTGTTTAATATCATTCATACGTGGAAATAGGGTATATAGGTTTTATATTTTTGAAAGTGTTTGTTTGAATAATATTTACAGAAGAAACTGACACATTTTAGTGTAGTAAACCATATCTTAACCTATACACAATTGTTAAAAGATGAAACGTAGGCATCGCGTACGTGTACAACGTTTATTTTAGTTCCTATGATGTGCAATAATCAATATTGGGACCAATATTGCAGTTTCATATGTAACTCTTCGTCAGAAAAATTCCCAATATCGAAGTCCAGTCCACGACACACGCTATCCTTTCTTTGCTGAAGTAGCATCATGAAAGCAGCGTAGCCATGAACGCCATTTTGCGAGTGCACGTCAAGTTAACATCCTGTTAAAAGTTTTGAACAAGATAACCCGATGTTATTAGTTAACAGGTTTAAATGATGTTAACAGTTGGTGATGTTCCTGGTGTTGAACAGTTCCCTGGTGTTCT